GGGTCATTTACTTGTATATCCCGGTGTCGTATAACCCCAACAAACCCCCATACAAAAATAGGAAAAACATTAAAGTGAAAAATGTTAACCTCGAAAACTAACCGTGCGGTGGTCACATATTCCAACTCTTCTCATATTCACGTGTATATTACCTATATACTCGGACACCACATCAAACTGTACGTGACTGTAGCTTCGATGGTTTTCGACATTTGCGGAGTCTTCGACACTCAAATCAAATGACGAAAAAGGTATTTGAATATAAAAGAAACACAATGGACGAAAATAATGGCAGCCAAGTTTAAGGAGAAAATACCAAGTTGAATGCCATCCAAAGTTCCATTATTTTTGGAAGACACCGTAAGCGTTTATATGAAAAGAAAGTAAGTGATATCCATAGTCCAAAAATACTATTATGTACAAAAATATGCCCCAAGTTTCTTTTGACCAATACATTGAGAAGTTGAAAATAGTTCAGATGGTTTTCCATTTCTACTTTCCATGAACAAGTAATCCATGTGAATGAATCTCAGCAAGCATCAGTAGTCATCTGCCTAGCTAAGTTGTTAGGAAAGAAATCCATTTGATTTCTGTAATTATGTATTTACTTGTAGTGCAGAGCACGTTATGTGGGTCAAACCAGATTTCTAGCCTAAGTTTAGTTAGTTACCAAGAATAGCTTTTTTATATCCTTTATATTCCTGGTATCATCTTGTATCAATAATTAATTCAATAGAGAAAATATTCTCCATATTTCATTTTACATAAGTTAACGTTACCTACTGCAAAAGACACTACATTTCAGACAGCTATGTCTGGACAAGTCTGCACGTGGGGCAACAAAGATTCATGCCCGTGTTAGCTATCAGTAAGAGGTAATTAGTGAACATTAATGTTCTAATCACTCAATATTCTCCTTGAAACTCTTTGTAAGCCAAATAGCAGTTTCTCTTGGAGAAGCCTTTTCAGGTCCAAATGGTTTCAGTAACACTGTGAGCTCAGGGAAGTGTCCTTGCTGCAATAGTTGTACACTAAACTCGAGCAATCCTTCAAGGGCTTCTGCACGCTGCTGGTAAGATGAGGTGTCAAATTTACGATACCGTGAATTTGATGATGAAACCTCCTCCTGCCTGTTTGGATTGTTCTCTGAAGACTCGCTTCCAATACATGGAACCCTACGAGCAGTGCTGGAAAGCATCTGGACCGTACATTTGTCTTTTATGATTGAACGATCTCCACTATAAGATGAGGTAGAAGAACACTAAGTAGATATTGATGAGATATCCCGAATGGAAAACAATGGATCTTTGGAAGATGCTAGAACAGACTCGATCATCTTGTCAATTCGAGGAGCATTGACAGATACATCAGGTGACTCCATACCACGGAGAAGACCAATACTTGTGAAAGCTCTGGTATACAGTGGAAGCGACGCTCTTCATGTTGATTGTGAACTTTTTCTGACAGAAATATGTGAGATTGGAAGCTGCACGCGTATGCAAAACGGTGCGAGTTTATTACACAAGCCTATCAAACAACTTGAATTTTGGAAACTGTCTTGTCACAATTTTTTGTTCAAGAAATACAACTACATAAAATTATATCATTGACTGAGCTGAAAACAAACAAACCAGTTCACAGGTTGATCCAGAGTTGGATATCTTTGATGGAGTTGTTGTTATATTTATTATATGGACTGCATTTCATTTAGTTATTTTTAAGCCCATAATGGGATGAGCCCTTTTATTCACACATATGGAGTCCATACTCTCATCCCCACTTAAAATAGAAGTAGCCCATTGACTTATATATATACTAGTGGAGGATCGTGCGTTG